CAAATATGTCTGCGTCTCACATGTGTCACAGCTGCTGATGCAAACCAGTCTTTCGCCGATTCGTCCAAGGTGCTAGTCTTACTTTTTCAACCCAGCACTTGCTCGTCAAGTCTGAGCAAGCCTTTGTTTACAAGACTGGACTTCCTGTACTGGTGCTGAGAGGAAAAAGTGATATTTCTCTTTTTGTTTGGTTTCCATTCAGAGCTGTATTACAGCCATAATGCAGTGAGAGTGGTTTTAGGTTTTGTTATGTATCACTAATCAAGTGCAGTACATTAGCACTACTGTTCTTTTGTTATTATTAAGCCGATCCATCTATTATTAACTTGTGTTCATAGCAGTAAATGTTTGACTTTACTCTGTGTGTTGTGTTTGAGTAGTTATGGGCATTTGATGTGCTTTACTTTAAGAAAAGTTTGTGTTTCTCATAACGCACAATTGGTGTCTAGTCTGATGAAGATGATTTGAGTTCAGACTGAGCTTCACTGCTGTGCTAAATAAGGGACTTACAGATGCAATAAAAATATTTACAGCATTTAATATCTAAGGTCACCATTTTTATAAGGTCACATATGAACAGTCTAACATTGATAAAATGTACATATGAATATTAATTGCAGTGAATTTCTTGGCTATTCTTGCAGCAGCGCAGCATATGAGTTCATATACTGTCCATCAAGTGTCACCACAGTGACACCACTAAATGATGGAAAATAATTAGCTGGAAAAGTTGATTAAATCATTTATTCACACGTAATTTTGTCCACATATTCCTGCACCTCCGCGCCAACAGCAGAAACAGTGTTGCAGCACAGACAGAAAATGTTCTACTAATTTGCCACTCAAGGGTAAAAAATGGCACCTGCATGTTAAAGCATGGTTTTTTTTTTGTTTTGTTTTTTCTGCTGGTGCTTTTTATGTGTAAGTGGTGTGTATAGATTTAGTATCTTTTACTTGACTGACCGTGACTTTTTGCTGCAGTCTTGACCTGATTTTCCCACGAGGATCAATAGTTTCACCTTGATCAGTGTCACATGTGATTGAACACCACTTCTTTCAGAAATGGAAAACCACACTGGAGCCTTTTATTAGCTATGACCAGTGTTGGGTTTATCAAAGACAGATAACTAGTAACTTGCTTTGTGAGATGGCCTTTATGAAGCCAGAGGGTTTTTTATGTACGAACATAAAATGAACTTGTACACATCAACCTGAAGGAAGTGATGTCATTCACAGGGTTTCACCAGCCAGAGTGTACTTAGGAAGTGATGTAACCTGGCTTTGGGACAGTTTTGTCACCAGCCAGGTGACTCATTTCCTCCACCTATGTTTATAAGTGCAGCAGATAGTCAAATGGTTGGATTCAGTTGAAATTGAGGATCTGTTCTCAATATTTGTCTTTTTAAAGCATCAGTATATGAAATGCAGTAAAAGTGTTGATTTTGGCATAGCCACCTGTGGAGACACTGTGCATCGTTGTTTCCAGCTCATCACTCTTGTATCTGTTAGGTTAGATAGAGGATATGTCACTTGAACCTCTCTGGACTCTAACGCAGAATGAAAACCATGTTTAAAAATGTGTTTTTGTCTTGCAGTACAAACACTACATAGAGTACTCCCTGTAACAGGATGTTGTCAGACAAAAGGTGTTGTGCTTAATCTGATAAGCCTAAAGTGCCTTTTTCTCCCCCTTTCTTTTTAGTAACAGCCTCAGTGATGGTTTCCCTGTGTTGAAAAATTATGCTTTTTGCCCTCAAGCGGAACATAATCTTCCACAAGTGTGGTCAGGAAATGCCGGTCATGCTCGGACTAGCGGATTGTTTAACATAAGTGAGGTTGGGAGCTTTTCAGGTGGATCACTATAATGCACTAACATTTCTGGAGCCATGTTTACTCTCGCTGTTGTCAGCAATGCCACCATGCAAAACAAGCATTGGCTTCGTTCTCCGTGCCATCAAACTGACAGTGAGTAATGTGGGCATGAGGATGTGTGGTGCTGTTTTTGCTTGCTGATAAATATAAAAGTTGGAGTTAATAAGAGATGAGACAGAGGAATCAATAAGACTATAGCATTATTAGAATAAAACTATGAATTATACAGAAACATTCAGGCTCATCATATGTAATTTCCCTTTATTGAAAAAAAATGAAAGACAAGTAATATTGTGGTTTTTTCCATTTCAAAACATGCAAACAAATTGTGGGCGGTATGTGTCTTCAGACAGCTCATGATGACACAGACCACCACCATGTCATTTCACCGGAGCAGGTGGGCTGCACAGGTGGAGTGTACATTTTTCCACTTGGCCCTCCAGCCCTGAAACTAATCTGAAACCCGCCCCCTTATGCAACTCTGAGCTTATGTAGTTGTTCAGGAATGCTGCTACAAAAGTATAGAGGCGGAGACAATAGCATGTGTAGATTAATCATGTGAAGATCAAATTAAATGCTACATGTAAACACGACTTCTGTTCTGCCTTTAACCTGCTGTAAAGCTCTCTTGCAACATTATCTCCTGAGGATTCCTGAAACGTCAGAACGAATGTGGTCCAACTGGTTTTGGCTGAAACTTAGTGTGGTTCTGGCGACTGTCGCAAGAAGGAAGTTTCATTGTTTGTGCAAAGTAGGACAGTAATTTGGTGTGAGAGGACAAAATGAATCAAAGAACTGTTGCTCATTGCTGCTGGAAGTTGATCTGCTTTGTCGTGATTTCAGTTTTCCATAAAGTCACAGGACAAAGTTAATTTAGATTGACTTAAAGGGATATTCTTTAACAATCACAGCAGACACATCAGGGCCCACAGGCTATGACTGTATGTACCACTTGGAGCGTGCACTAATGTAAAAACCTAGACACAGCTTCCTCTGCTTCACTCAGCACAAACCTATTCATCCATCAACGCTCTCATTAGGCTGTTCAGAGGTGCCCAGTGCACGTTCACAGCAGATTTTGTTGGTGCTGCTCACTATGTTGTCGAAGCTGCATGGACGGCAAGTTTTATAAATTGAATTGCATCTTCAGTGTTTTTTTTATAATGGTGTCTGCTGTTCAAACTGGGTCAGGCCGGCCTTTTGTAACTGAGCAAACTGACAAGATGGGACACAAAGGAATCATGACAAATTGCTGACTGACAACAGTTTGAGGTCTCAACCTCAAGTTAAAACCCTAAAATCTAGTCATAATCATCCAGAAACAGCAGCGCAGATAAGTCTCCATCATTGAGAATTGGCTGTTATGTTTCCTATTGTTGTCCATGTTTTTTTTTTCTGTAAATGAATAAACAATTTTAAGTACATGACCTTAGGCACCCTCATTTACTTTTGTTTGAGGGGTGTTGTTGTATTGTGCTCTTTCTACTCCTTTTATTCTGTGTACAGTTAAAATTAACACAAGCTCCATAATAGTCGACATGTTTATGCAGAATTTACTCTAATTCAAAATAATCTTTTGGCCCTTTTTAAATGGCTGTTATTTCCTACACTGTTTAGTAAGTTGTTATGCATTTGACTGTTTATGTGCCGGCTTTAGTTTGACTCATCTCCAGTGCAAAGGGTGTTTGTAAAAGTTAATGTGTAAGCTCTGTTTGTCTAAACAGACCAGTGTGACATGTAGCCTAGAACAGCTGTCGTCTCACTTGTACTGTACAGTCTGCTGCTCTGATATTATAGACTTCATTATCATTGTAATACCAACATGTTGTCCAGTGGCAAAAGCAATTAAAAGTTGCTAGAAAATAATAAATGCTTCCTTGAAGACGTACTGACTCATAATGAGCTTCATAATGTCCTCTCATTAACTCTCATTTAACCTTGTTGTCTTCTTTCTTTTTCTCTGTTAGCTGCCCAGCCTGGACACTTGACTATGGGTGAACCTCTGTGGAGTAGCAGCATCAGGACCGTGTGGGAAAGCTTGTTCTGCAGCAGCCCATCCTCTCTGAATGTGTTGTGGATCAAAATACAAGATGGCAGAGATGCCGTCCGATGTGGTTAACTACACATCTTATCAGAAGTATTAAACCACTGATCATCAGAGGCTTCCCAGCACGAAGACTCGGGTTGTAATTTTTTATTTTTTTTTTTGTATTGACTTTCAGCTTTTTTTTTTTTGGAAACATTTTTAATTAGCAAAGAAAGCAAAAGGTCTTTTGTGTGAGCTGCAGAAATGGACTAGAAGCCCATGTTTAGTAGGGCAGCTGCTGCAGCTTGTGGATTAACTTAACCTGAAGGGCCAGGGGATCTGATCCCAGCTCCAACCCGCCCTGTCAGCTGACCGTCCCACTTATCTAAAGGTGTAGATCCACTAACCAATGGCATGGGCCAAGTTCTTCAGGAGGCCGGGGGGCAACCTGGGGAAATCGTACCAGCCGGGGAGCATGCTGTCTCTGGCCCCCACCAAAGGACTCCTGAACGAGCCGGGCCAGAACAGCTGCTTCCTCAACAGCGCTGTGCAGGTAGGTCTGTGCTGCTGCTTGTTTGTTGATAGTAGATAGTGTCAACACTATAGTCTAAGCTTCTCCTGACTTCCGCTACTGTTGGTGTCACTGGATTTATAGATGTGTTGCTCTGTTCCTCCTTTTCAAAGCTCAGTCACTGTCTAAATTTGTCAGAGCTTAACAGCTGTTTATTAATGTATGTGAAGGTTGCTTCTGACAGTGGGATGCTAGCTGGCAACTAGCTCATTATTGCAGTCAGTCCCACAGTGAGGTCACTCTTGGAGACTGTGACTCAAGAGGGTGTGAGGTTGAGATGGTCGGAGATGATCGTTGCCTTCGGTTTTGTTTCTGTGAGGGAGTTGTTCCTCTCGCCCACTCCTCATCCTCATGACTTTGTAGATGTTGGCCTAATGCTCAGAGGATACTGAGTTCTCTTACATAATTCAATGCCTCACACTTAACATAACACCTGTGTACGTGTTCTTAAGTTTTTGATGCTGATGACTTTGTTTGTATGTTAACTGTGTCTGTAAGAAAGTGCTCAGATACAAAGGTTTTTTATTGTAAACAGTCCTGATCACCACCTCCTCTGTCCCTTGTATAGGTACTATGGCACCTGGACATCTTCAGACGCAGCTTCAGGCAGCTACCTGGACACTTCTGTTTAGGAGACTCATGCATCTTTTGTGCATTAAAGGTAGGGAGCAATGAGAAGCATAGTTAATAGGAGCTAATGCTGAGAAGTAACTGTGTAGTTCTTATTTGTTTTAGGGATGTGGCGACTCGTCGGGTCACATTCAAACTGTTTGAGCAGTGAAGGTGAAGCAAGCGCTCTAAATAAACAAAATGTCCCACAGCTCATGTGCAAACAAGTTCTTTTTCTCTTCTTCAGGATATCTTCTCCCAGTTCCAGCAGAGTCGGGAGCGAGCCCTGCCCTCTGACAGCCTGCGTGTCGCCTTGGCAGAGACCTTTAAGGACGAGCATCGCTTCCAGCTGGGCTTCATGGATGATGCCGCAGAGTGCTTTGTAAGTTCCTGTGGCAACCTAGCTCCCCTCGGAGGGGGGGGGCTAGTGTATGGAGAGGGATGTGTGTATGTTTGTGTGTTACCCTGCCACACAATTTGGGTAATGCACTGCAATGAACTGTTTGGTAAGGTCACTGGAAGGGCTTCTGTCCTCCCCCCTCCCATCAACTCCTGCCACATTGCAGCTAAATATCATCCTGACAGGTTATGTAAGCACCAGAGTTGTTTGAACCTCTCTGTCTGTCTGAGTCCATTTTATGTGACCTTCATCATTTTTACATGTTGCTTCCAAAGCATTTTTGGCCAGAACTTGTTCTCTAACTGTTTTTTAGTCTTATTTTGACTCCTACTATCAAATGTAAAACAGATCCTGCAGCATTTTTTTAATCATTAATTTTTCAATCATGTTTTCTTGTGTCTATTAGTTTTAATTAGTTCTTCTCACACTGTTGATAACTTCTGCTCAGTAGCAGGATCCCCCAGGAGCACACATCTATCCTGATTTTATTCAACAGTGATTGTTGGGAAGTTCAGTTACACAGCATTGGACACTGGGTTACACAGTACAAAAACATCAAGTCAGTTTGGTTCCTAATTAAGCACTTATTCACAAACCTACCATGTAGTGAAGTTAGAAAACAGCTTTCTTTCTTAGTCTGCAAATTCCTCTACACAGAGACCAAAGCTTATATGCCAAAATTGCTCTCTTTTATAGACTGTCTTCATTCTCAGTCCCACATGGATCTTTGCCCTGGAGCGTTCACCATGTATTACACTGGCAGTAGCTTGCTGGTGGAGAATTTATATGAGGAGTTGGCCAGTGTCAGGTTAACAGGCTGTGAAGTTGTGCATGTAACCTTTGCAGGCATACTTTTTTGCCTTAATATTTTATAAACTGACAAACCCTCCATAGAAGCAGGAGGGAGCTAAAATGGGGTAAAAAGTAAGTGGCTCTTTAAACATGTTCCTTCTGCAGTCAGGTTTGTAATATGACTCCTGAATCAGGTTGGTATGTAACATCTGTCTCAGGTTGGTTCTTGGAAATACCTGCTTGTTAAGCAGTTTAAGGATAATCACCTTTATTTGGCCAAGTATGTTACACAAAAGGAATTTGTTTCTGGTACAGAACTGAGGCAGCCATCTGCGGCGCCAACTCACACCGGTGGTTCTAACCATTGGGGGGAACTTGGGGGCTCAGTGTCTTGCCCAAGGACACTTCGACATGTGGATGTTGGGAGACGTCTGCTCTACCTACTGAACCACAGTCGCCTCACAGTTGCTTTACGTCATCAGATCTGGAAAGATTTGTTCCATACCTGACAGATCTCCTCTTTTGTCACAGGAGAACATACTGGAGAGGATCCACCTGCACATTGTGTCTGAAGAGACAGACGCCTGCACTTCAAAGTCTTGCATCACGCATCAGAAGTTTGCTATGTCACTTTATGAGCAGGTTAGAAAGCATTAATCAGTGGTTTTTATTTTACTTGGGACATAATATGTTTTGCTGCACCAATCTGTGAAAAGGAACAGAGCCTCTAAGAGGACATGAGTGGGAAAAACATTCTCATGGGCAACAGAAAATATGTTGTGCTCATGAGAAATTCTTTTTCTTTTTGGGTTTGTTTTTTTTTTTTTTTACTTCCAGGTGAGAACCAGATATTTCCTTGTGCACAGATGATGTCTGGTGCACATCACACATTTCCTTGTGCTCACGAGAAAGTTTTTATTTTTAACGTTTTGCTGGAGATGTTTTAGTTCATGTAGTGCGTTTCCACAGCCTCCACAGTAATGGGCAAATGCACACCAGCCAATGTTAGGATTAAGCGGTGCATGCACGCACACAGACAGGTACATGAATCACTGTGTGAGAAAGTACAAATCCAATCCGTCATGTTTTGATACTAGGTTTCCCAAGTGGAATGAGGAGGGTGTTTCTGGTCAGATTCCACATTGCTGAGGCAGACACAGATGGTGTACAGACAAATTCCAGCACAACACACATCACCCTGCCTTGTGGCTGCGATGCCCATCACTGACTGTCCCTGTCCCAAACCAGTTGTGCCATCTCTGAATCAAACCGATAATACACCTCTGGACTAAATCCTTTAGGGGCACAGTCGGTGGATTTTGTTCTACTTCAGGGTAGCCAATCCAGCAAATATCAGAGGCCTGAATGAGGACTGCCTCACTCAGAGGGAAATCGATGATGTTAAATTAAATTTGATGGCCGATGATGTCAGTTGTTTGAGTTGGAGGCATACAAGGATGGTCACAGCTTATAGCATAAGGAAAGCAGCACAACAAGCGTCTATCTGTTGGTAGCACGGTGACTATTTTTGACCTCACTCTTTTGGAAAACGACCTGCTGGCTTGATAATTAGCAGCACTAGCAGCAGCTGTGTGTGCTGAAACCTCACCTGTGTGTGTGTGTGTGTGTCTGTACCCCCGTGGTGTCCGACTCTCCCCTCTGCAGTCTGTGTGCCGTAGCTGTGGGGCGTCCTCCGATCCACTACCATTTACAGAGCTGGTGCATTATGTCTCCACCACTGCACTTTGGTAAGGGACAGGCAATTTGAAACTTTCTTTGCCTTTCCACTGTATCATGCTACTCTGTTTTTGCTTAGTTTGTCACAAGGTTTAAGCTGACATTTCACACACAACAAGGTTTTCCCTCCACATACATTAATCTTTATTTGTGTCTCTCTGTTTGGCTTCCTCACACGATCTTTCTTTGGGCCGTTTCTCCCTTTCCTGCATCTCTTCTCAGTCAACAGAGTCTTCAGCGCAAAGACGAGTCATTTGGGGAACTGTTACAAACAGTGAGTACAACAGGAGACGTACGTAACTGTCCGGTAAGTGACTTTTAATATTGCAACTTTTCAGAAAAAAACACATTCATGTTACCGGCCTTTCTTCAGTAATTTGGCCACAATTTTCTCCAGTAAATGTACATTTGGTGAGCAATTTTAAAATTTGTTTGTGTTTGAAATGAATTGTTAATGACTAGCCGGTGTTGTAGTCGGGTATTACTCATTTTCTGTGTCTTTGTTTTTCTTTTCCAGAGCAATTGTGGTCAGAGAATTAGGATCCGACGGGTCCTCATGAACTCTCCAGAAATAGTTACTATAGGCTTCGTCTGGGACTCGGAGCAGTCAGACCTGACTGAGGATGTTATCCGCTTTTTAGGGCCCCATCTCAGTCTCTCTGCAGTGAGTTTGTGTACTTTACATTTTATTTGTAGTTTTAGTTTGAACCTTTGTTCTGTAGTGTGGGCGGAGGACGTGGTCAGATTAAGGTTTAGAAGAAAAGATGTTTCATGACAAAATATACTTGGATTTTATTGAAAATTTCACAGGTTGCCTAATGACTTGGTTCTGCCTGTCAGTGTGTTTTTGGAATGTGTTTATTTATTTATTTATTTATTTTTTTTGCTGTTTTAGGGTCAGTTTATTTTGGTGCATTTGAACATATGTGGCAAATAAAGTGAGGATTTATTTCTCTGTGAGTCAGGGTTGTTGCATAAGCAGTCAACACCCAGTGCCCAGCTGGCCTGCGCCACTGATCAAAAAGCCCCTGCTGGCCTTGGTCAGCCTGTCAAATGCCCCTCCCCTCGTCTGTGTGCTTTTCTGTGTGAGGGAACATGTGAGCTGAATAGATGTCACTGAGATAGGGGGAAAATACGGTGACTGCTTTTGTTGTTGTATTTACACATTTCTTAATCACAAATGTGGGCGTGCTTTCCTTCTTTATTCAATAAAATTCCCCCCCATACATGTCTATGTTTAGGGTGTTTGTAGTGTTTTCAAGAAATATGTATGTTAAAAAAACTGGGCACATGACTCAGTGAATCTTCCTCCACAGCCTCCTCATATCTGTCCACTGTTGGATGAAGTTCACATTCAGATCAGAATGTTCTTATTCACTCATTGCGTAACTTCATTAGTGAAGTATTCCGACTGTTTATTTGACAGCTTCCTTGTTCTCTTTTTCAGAGCTTACCGTTAGAATTTGTCAGACCTCCCTCCCCTGTAGTGTGTCACAAAGGGAGTGGCTCATGTGACTTTAACGTGCTAATGGGAGCCCTCCACCCCGTTGGGTCTGAAATCTATTGTTTGAAAGAGGGAGATAGAGAACTGGCTGTGGAGGAATAAGAAGTGACTGTTTCATACCACCACTAAGTGCTGCACCCGTTTTATTCTTATTACCTACTTTTTTTTATTGAGTTTGTTCCTTTGTTTCTGATATTTTTTTACATTATTTATAAAAGAAACACAATTACATAAAACATTGCTGTTTAGGCCGTCAAAACTACAGACCGCTGTAACATTAGTCTGGATATCAAAAGCTGCCATGACGGCACTGATTTAAACCAGCCCGTATTCACACTCTCAGGCCTTAACCTATAATTGGTGTATATTTTTGTGTGTGTGTGTGTGTGTGTGTGTGTGTGTACACAGCTCTTCTACAGGGTGACAGATGAGCAAGCCAAAAAAGGAGAGCTTCAGCTCGTGGGGATGATCTGCTACACCAGCCGCCACTATTGTGCCTTCGCCTTCCACACAAAGTCCTCCAAATGGGTCTTCTTTGATGATGCAACAGTAAAAGAGGTGAGAAAGTGCACCTTTTATACAAGTTGATAACATCTGGTTTGTTTTACAAGAAGCAGCAAAGAGTAGCGATGTTCAGTCTCTTGCCTCCATCACCACTTTATCGCCCAATAAGGGCTACATTGAATGTCTCTTCATGAGCCTTTGGGTTGACGAGCCCTTATTGCACTGGAGAGTCGGCTAACCAGCCAACCCCTTACCCTGTTTCTACTGCAGTTCCTCCAACTCTGTCATTGCAAAGTACTGCAGTAGTGAAGCTTAACCAGTAAATTATCATTGAAAAGCCACTGAGAATGCTGAGCTGCAAGGTAAATTTGTGTGTGTGAAAGAGGTCTATGTGTGTTTGTGTTTAGCAGCCAAGTGGCTTTGTGTGTGTATATAGTATATACCTCATGAATCCTTTCGTCCATTCTTTTTCTTAATATTGGATTGATCTCAGTGGTGTCCACATGCGTGTTCACCTTCTCCCAGTTTCATTGTGGGCTGTGGTGCAGCGGCTGACGGGCTCTGTGTCAGTCCATCAGCAGCTTGTGCTGTGTGTGCAGCCCCCCCGTGCCTGAAGAAGAGGAGCTACAGCAATGTAGCTAATGTGAAATGGCTTCAGAGTTGTGTCATAGCTCTACATTTAGTCTGTGCCAGTGCCAAGTTCATTACAGCCTGGCTGATTACACATTACAGTACATGCATTTCATAGTAGTTTACATACAGACTACAGTAACTGTATACTGGAGGTCATACTGGACATCCTCCGTGATCCACAATCCATTTGTCAGTAACCTTTTTTTTTTTTTTTTATCTATCTCTGCAGCATTCCTTCTTTTATCTTTTTGCATTGTTTCATCTTTCTGTCCCTCCACCTGTCTTCTTCTCCCCCCTCTTTCCTCCTAATTTGCTTTATTAAGGAGCACACAAGCATCTGTTAGCCTGCAGCTTGCTTTGGTGGTGCCTTTGTGGCCAGACATGCACCTTACACAGCTTAGCTAATGTGATTATGATGCGATTTGGCTCCAGTGCATTATATTCACTCCCAAATTAGAACATGAACAGTAAAGGTGCGGTTTTGCTTTAAAGTTGCTGGAGTAAATTTTAAAAGCCGGCAGATAATTTTGTGTTAGGTTAAGATCGACTGGCGCTGTGACCATCTGGTGATGCCACTAGAGCTGGGTATTGGTGGAAAGTGGTTCGTTTGCAATTTTACAACAAACTTCTGTGATACTGGTTTGTAAAATGAAAACAGATGGTGTCACAAGAAAGCTGGTTTTGTCTGCTTTTTGAATTTGGACAGTGACTGTTTAATTTGCACATTGAGAAAAAGCAGGATTTGCTGAAACATGAAAAGACTCCATAAGCAAAACCCAACAGTTTAAGCCCTCTTTAATTATTTTAAATTGATTGGTCCCCAAGAAAACATGCAAATGAACACAGAAAGATGCTATAAATCTTTTTTTTTGTTTCACTGAGTACTGTACAACACAGAGCCAATCATTCCTGTGTCTAATTTGCTTATATCTGCACCAACATGTGCATTGACTAGCGTTTCCTTTCCTTTTGCTTTAGGTCGGCACCAGGTGGAAAGATGTAGTCACCAAATGTATCAAAGGTCACTTCCAGCCTCTCCTCCTGTTTTACTCCAACCCAGATGGGAGTGCTATCACTGTGGATGATGGCTCGAGACAAACCAGCAGCCACTCCCAGCACAAGACCCCTGCCAGTGGGGGAGTGCAAGGTATAATGTGTCAGGGTTGATTCAGAATCCTGCTTCTGTATCGGGGTCAGATGAGGTGTTGATTTAGTGTCCTTTTCTGGTAATTAACATCAAATTCCTTTGAGCTGCAATTATCTTGGTTATTAGTGTCATTGACCTTAGTTTTTCTTTGCATTCCCCAACTATAATCCCATCCCAAGTGACCGATTTGATTATAATACTACCATAAAACACCCATTAACACGAAGCTGAGGTGTGCAGATGCTTTATAGTTTCCAGGATGTGAAAGGAATAAGGGTTTCTGGTGTTCAGACTTAGAGGCTTACCTTGAGCTTGAGATGATGGTGTAGCAGCTGGAGTATGTGTGGATGGAAATTTAGTAAAGATGTGATGTTTTTGCTTAATGTAAAATGTTTGCAGTGGTGGTGGTTTGTTCAAGCAGAGCTTTTACTCCCTTAGCACATAATAAACTGTGAATAAAATTGTCTATTTACAAATCATCTTGAATCAAATTCAGAAAAAACACCAGAAAACAAAAAAAGCAGTGTCTAAAATCACATATTAGCTGTCTTTGAAGGCAGTAATGAAAAATTGTTGATTACAACATCTGAGCATCTCTGCGTTGGATTATATATCCCTGGATTTGTTTAGTTGGGGAGGCTTTTAGCTCCTTCAAGCTGTGGCAGCCGCTCACTGGTCATCAAAACTGACGGGGTGCCAGACCGAACTGCATGATCCTCTGAAAACCAAGAGGAACGTTATGTGGATTTTGTTATTTAAATTCAGTTTCTTAGTAACGGGTGCTGTTTTACCATGCAACTTAAATATTAAGGTCTGCTTCTTTTCTCTAATGTGTTTACTGCTTTCTCCTTCACAGGCCTCGAGTCTCCAGTGTCCACCCCAAAGAAGCTGGACCTCACCAAGGAGAATCTGAATGCTCGGTTGGGTGCCTTCAGCAGGGGCAGCGATCAGACCAGTGCAGGGCGGGGACCAGGTAAAGGAGAGAATATGGCAGCAAGGGAATTGAAAGATTGATGCTGAAGTATGTGCTGCAGAAGTTTGAGGTAATCAGGTGGAAAGATCTGTAAAATATTTTGCTTGTTTCCACTGTAGATGAAACATTTTTATGGAAATTGTTCCAACACTATAAACAGGAATCCAAACAAAGCTGTGGTTTAGACACATAATAAGTTCTGGTGGAAATGACATGTTATGCAGAGAGTAAGGAAACATTCAGACAGAGATGAGTCACACTGTGTGGTGGTTGGATGTTTTGGCCTTGAAAGACTGCTTAATTTATAAATATGCTTGTCCACAGAGTAGTGACAAGCACAGATCTGGCATAGCAACCAGTGGCTTCTCCGTAAAGTTAAATCTGGCCTTGTTAATAATACAGATGGGAATAGGGACCCGTGTTGAGGAGACACTTCACAAAGAGCTGCCAGTTCTGCACATACTTAAGCCAGTAGCTACTAAAAGCTGCCTGAAGCACCAAAGTCAGAATTTACATTGTTTTTAAGCTCTGATGTATCACATTGTCAAGTGTTGCACTTTTTTATTGAAAAAATATGGAGTCCCCAAAACATAGTCTACAAAAAACCTTAGTTTTTAAGTCATGTTCTTCTCGCAGTGCTTCCTGTTGAAATCCCAGACAGCTAACAGGACCACAGTATGATCTTGTTTTCCAGTGCTGTGCTTAATCAATGCATTTCAAAGTGAATCTCTGCCAGAGACGGGGGAGAGAAGCCGCTGCATGGCCGTGTTTCCACGCCAGTGCCTTCCCCCTCATGTAGCAGAAAATGTACTGCACACATCAGCACAATGATGTGCTGTAAAGTTGGCCTCTGTCTACACACTCAGCAACTGCTCTATGCCTTGGGGGTGCTGGAGACAAGAGGTGGAAAACAGCAACGAGGAAAAGGATGTTGTCACAATTGATATATACATGTACACTGGGCTAAAAAATACGTTTAACGGTGTCTCAGTGGTGGGAATTCCCACCTGATTCAGCAGAGTTTGCATTAATTGCATCATAGTACATGGCACTTGCACCTCATTGGGAAATATGACATCTTTTTGCTGTTTTCTAGTGAAAATTGGCACCAATGATCCCAGGAGTCGCATCAAAGAGCTTTCTCGAGAAGTTGCCCAGAAAGCAGGGGAGATTCGGGGGTTGCATCCATTCAGAAGGCAACCTGACAGGAGTGGTCAGCGGGAGCCGGAGTCCCACTCCAGAGGTTGGTCGCAGGTGTATTATTATGGAGATTATGGAGCACAACTGTAGCACAATTCCCAATCCACCTTGTCAGCTTCAGTAGCCTGTCTTAGCACCAAGCGCACCTCCCATTATGACTGAATGCAGTAGGCTGAAGGAAGATGGTGCCATTGCCATGGCGGGGTTGTAGGTCACAGTACAGTCAATGTGAGTAGTATGAATTTACTGCAGCACAGATCATACCCCAAAAAAGCACCCAGCAAAAGCTTAGGAAACTGTGCTGCTCACAGACTGTGGGATAGCCCCAGAGAATAAATAAATAATAACGGTTAGGTTGATTGGCGCCTCTAAATTGTCCGTGGGAGTGAGTGTGGGTGTGTGTGTGGTTGTCTGAGTGCCAGCCCTGTGATAAACTGGTGACCTGTCCAGGGTGGACCCTGCCTCTTGCCCAGTGTCAGCTGGGATTGGCTCCAGCATCCCCCGTGACCCTCATCAGGTTAAGCAGTATAGATAATGGATGGATGGATGGATGGAATTTAACTGGGCCCACAGTCAGCAAAATCCAAAGCAATAGAAGCCCCATCTTGTGGGCTTATTTCCAAGGGCTGACAGGTTAGTGTAATACTAAATTCACTTTTTGTACCTTGAAACATAACCTCAGATCACTTTTCCTGGTCATTTAGATGATGACTTGGTGCAAAGCACATTGCCTTTCATTAAAGCACTGTCAGCTCTAGGTTATTAGAATGCACATATTAAATGAGGACTTGCACATTAGAAGTTTTGCTTCCATGTGAGAAAAATTACTTTTTTAACCTTGTTCCACTCATTTATACAACTTCTGGAGGGTGTTGACAAGGAAGTGCAAGTGCCATGTAGTTCAGTGAGTGAACAAGTTTCCAGGAAGGATGTTGGGCTGTATATTTTAAGAATGGCTTTTATAGCTGCAAGTGTCCTTGAAATAGCTGACACACATCCGTACCACGCTGTCAGGTGCAGACATGTCATTTGTTCTTTTGGAAAGCCCAAATACTCATAACACTGTAGTGCAATCATCAGTGTCTGTGTGGGTGTCTGGACACAAGCTAGCATCCCTCTGTGTGCACACCATGAAGAATAGTCTACTCCTGATGGTCGTAATTTACACCTTCCTGTCATCTGTACACATTAATGTCAGTTTCCCTGTTGGCACCATGCTCTTCCTTCACTTTCTTCCCAACCTGCTGTGCTCTTCAGCACAGCTGTGTCTCGGTGTTGATAGGCAATTTTGGGTCTCGGCAGTGATAATCACAACATGGTTTTGTTGGAATCAGGTGTAGCAGGAAAGTTCTATCCACAGAAAATGCTTGAAGAATTGGCTTCAGTTTGTTGGGAAACTTGGCTTTTTGGAGGGAAGGAACATTTGTGATGTTTGATTTGTCGTTCAAAAGATTAAAAACATGCTTGAATTAAAAATGTCAACATTATTAATCTATTACCTTCTCAAATAAATGACTTGCTGTATCTTGTTAGAATGTTTTGCTGTTCGGGTCCTCATGAAACATCTCTCTCTCAAACTCAGATCCAGCCAAGGACAGGACCTACACCCGCTCTGTTTCCCCTCCAGAGAATGGCTTCAGAAAACCCCTGGAGACTCGACTGTACAGAAGCCAAGGGAAAGGTCCCATTCGGCCTGAGAGAACACCCCACCTTGGTGGTCGATCCTCCAATCAATGCTCTCGCTCTCACTCTAGTGTCCAAGTGCTACCCAGTGTGTCCAATGCCAGTAGTGGCCATCGCAGCCGGAGACTGGACCACTTTTCTAACGGATATGACACTGACAGCAGCCAAGACTCCCGTCCTGGAAGTAGAGGGAACAGCCGCAGCAAGCCTGATCGCCTGTGGAAGCCCACACGGGAGGCGCTAAATGTGGACAGTGTTTTAAGACGCACTGTTGATGTTAATTCAAGTCAAGAGCAAAGGAAGCACAGCCCCCAAAGAAGACCCATCAGTCAGTCGCCCTCCCATGACCGGGACAGAGATTTTACATGGGGAACCCAGGAAGAGCCTAAACCCAAGAGCCTAATGACCATCTATGAGGATGAGCAGAGGAACGAAACTGCTGGCAGCCAGAGCTCGCTGGACTCAGATAGCCGGTACGGCTACGGTGACAGGGACAGGTCGAAGGGTACAGTGACCCTGAAGATGCGGAATGACAACTGGAAGATCCAGAGAGCTGAATCTGGATATGAAAGTAGTGACAGACTAAGCAATGGTTCAGCAAATCTTGACTCACCTGTGGCAGAGCACCTCTCTTCCAAGGAATTGCGGCCCATACCTGAGCTGCATCCGACCAGGTAAAATGTTTGTTTTAAAGTTTTTATCAGTACACAGGACCTTGGCACTGCAATGTGTGATTCAAGTGTCAGAATACTGCTCTGTCATCCCATGCCCTACTCATTTAAGGATTTGAGTCTTTTTTTAAATGATTAAACATTACAAACACACTGTTCTAAGAACAGCAAGACCAAATTAACATAAATACATTCAAGGCATATCCACCAGCCTTGTTATGCTGGGCTGTCATTTGCTGGCTTTGTAGTGCAGGTCTTATGTGGAGATAATGATGCCAACTCGGAGGTGAGAGCCAGCACTGCTGACTTCCTCAATTGCTAGTGCATTAACCTTTGAGAGTATATCGGTAAAGTGAATCCGTAATTCTTTGACATGTGGTTAAGATTTTTGGGACTGGGTTAAGGCCTGAAGCCACTGGATATGAAACGCATAATTTTATTTTGTACTAGCTAGCAGAAGGTAACCCAAGATGCCAGATAATAAACAGCAAAGAAAAATGATTAAAAGCAACTAACACCAGTTCTTGGACAATATGTACCATCTTCCTGTCCAAAAAACAACAACTATGTAGCAGAGATTAATAACAGATTACACCTCTGTACTTCATTTATAATGAACGGGCTGAGGTCATGAGGGTTTCCGTCTTTTAGTTTGTTGGTAAAAGATCATGACTGGAATATCTTGTCAGTTCATAATGCACGAATAACTGAATTGATTTTGTACTTTAGGGATCACTTCCCTCAGAGAAGAAACGATAATTTGAAGGCCGACATATTACACTCTCCGTTTTCCACAAGTAAGTGCATCAGTCTCTGTGCACTAATAACTTTGTTGTAGCACTGTCTGACAATTCTGTCTACTACTGATGAAGCGTGTGTGTGAGGTAGCATTTAAAGCATTCAGGTAGCCAAACATATGAAATCTGAATAGCAGTGGGGGGGTTTGTCATATGTACACCCTTCATATTCTTCATCCGGCACATGCTTGCTTGTAACAGCACAAAGAGGAAAAGAAGGGAAATATTTTTTAAATTAACATGTCTTGAAAAATGCCTTACTAATTTGCTAAACAGGAATACACTGAGGTAATCCTGAATAAGAGGGGGAAATGAGTGGTCTTGTAGGAGCCACCCAGCTGTGCCCAGCCTTGTAGAAGAAGACTGGACCTGTCAGAAGGTTGTGTTCAAACATGATGCAAATAAAATGCCATTTTGTAGCGCTGCAGTTATTTCCAGCTCCCAAAGAGCTTTCAAAGTAAGTCATAAAAAGAGTAGATGCAATCAGCAGCAACAGTTTTTTTTTTTTTGTCTTTAGTTTTGTTCCCAGCTTTGAACCCCCAGCGATATCCGTGTTTTGTGCTTTGACATGTGGACTGGAGAGGACAGCCACAGTTATTGACCTGCAAGCATCTGCACACACACAATCTCTGGCAAAGTTAAACACTTTTGTGGCAGGCATGGTTTTCTATTAACCTCTAATGGATTATGTTAGATTTAGTTTTTTATTTCTAAGTTAAGGGACTTTTTCTAAAATAATAGTAATTATTATTATTATTGCTAGTTTTTGTCTCATATCTGTGTTCTTAATTGACTACAGTCACTCACTCGGTGCTTGCTTACTCAATCAGGCCACCTAGTGCCTTTAAGAAGATATGACGGTGTCCACAGATCACACACATTAACCAGCTCACATCACCACAATCATTCGCTTGCCTTTTGTTTGTTTTAATTGTGTAGGAGTTGTTTTCAAGTTTAAAATGATCAGCTGTATTTCATGATGAATGCCTGGAAATGCCTTGCATTCTCCAGATTGTTTTGACGGGATGCGGTGAATGTGTCCAGTCATTTTGGCTTGAGTTCAGCAGTCGTAGTCAGGTGTGAACTACAGTTTTAGAGAACCCTGAGCAGATTCCATTAAAGTCCAAAATCCTTTCTAAAAGCACATTGATTATAGGTGGTTGGATCATTTATAGCATCGGAGAGGACTTAAGATTGTGGCCCTTTTTGATCTTGTTGTGAGTAAATCTCACTGAGGTGCATCACACCAAATCAGTCGTGGCAGCAGAACTTCCTGTCTATAATCGTGTGAAAGGGCACAGCTGTCAGCAGGA